TAACTTATTGTTTTGATCAATATAATTTATTCTCTACGGCCACCAGAATAATCATGGGGAAATCCGCTTGCAAGTTGTACATATAATTGCTAATGAGTGGGAAACATACAAACATTTTATAGTAGGTGACGAATCTTACTCAAGATCAGTGTTAGACGTTCAGTGGTACAAAACTTTACCTTCTCGAGATGGCGAGTACGCTGGGATACGTGGAACTACAATATATCAGTGAATTTTTTTCAAGTACACAGGGAAGTTGCTTAAGAAACTGTGACTTACCATTCGGTTCTGGCGAAGAAGTATGTGACTTGATGTTTAATGGCAATGTTGACTCGGGTCATTATAGCGTTATAAAACTGTATCATTAACCCCAGGGTGTGAAAAGTAAAAAAAAATACCCCCGCCGTTGCAAACCTGCAGACTAAGCGAATTTCCATTAACCTGATTAGATTTACACTAAAATGCCTCCATAAAAATAGCACATTCATTTCCTATTTAAATAGAATAAGTTTAATTAGTACTTAGGTTTGCTGCAACAGGGAGGGTAAACAAGATTTTTTTTATAAAATGATAATAGTTTAGTAAGAAATAAAAGTATTTTCCAAAATCGATTAGAATATGTTCATAAACAAGCAAACTACAACAGTTGACTTATTCTCCATAAGAATAACATGGGAATTTTAAAATTACAATGTTTTTGAATTTTCTCCGTAACAATTAGGCGCATAATAACGCTTCAATATACTAAATTATTTGGTTTTTTAAGCTCTACAAAATGGTTTAAAAATAAATTGTGAAATTTTATGTTTTTAGGCTCTAAAATGTGAAAACCCTATTTTTACCCCACAAAACCCCCCATAAACCTCCTTCCCATAGTCCTATCATGCTGGTTCGCGAACCCATTCAAGTTTATCCCGCCTTACACCTTCAAACCAAATTTTATCAAAATCAGACAAAAATTACTCAAGTTATCGTGCGGATGGACACACACTCACATATAATATATAGATATATACGAATTTGAACTAATGGTGTTTTTGGCCTCTGGGGACATCAAAATGAAAAAGTAAATCGGTCCCGGGCTTAGGTCTTACCATGAGACCTACGGTAATAGCTACTTCCCTATAGAGAAAAGGAAAAAGAAAAAGAAAAGGTAATCATTAACCGGGCGTAAAGAGACATACCGAACGAAAAAAATTTAGAGAACCATCGAACTAAAAAGGTAAAGAGCACTGTTGGTGTTAAATGTGCTCTGGAAGTCCCTACAAAAAAATACCAACTCTTTTGAATTGGGTCGTTAGATTGGATTTGTCACTACTTCAAATCTATGAATTTCGAGTCAGAACAGACTAACAGGGACACAAACATTTTTTCTTTATGTTGTCACAAGGGGAACATAAAATTAATTCCTTATCAACATTTTGAGTTTATGGAAAATCTTATCAACAGCGACTATAAAAAAAGTATTAAGGGTCAAAAGAGACAAACAACTATTTGAGTAAAATATAATACAAATCTGCATTTGAAATGGCCAGTTCTAAGTCTCACTTGAATCAACATTTTTCTGGTAGTGGTAGTCTACATAGTTTTAAAATCCACGACTCCTTTTCCATCAAATTGGACCGTTAATACCCTCTAACAATGAACGAAGTATGCCCAACTTTATATATACGACGTAAACACAGCTTTTACTCACAGTATGGGTCAAAGATTCGTGAAATGCGACCAACTGCTGATGCGTGATTTACATGTAGGCTAAGTGACTATCTTTATTCCATACAACAAATGTAATGAAAAAAACGACAAATATAGGAATATACTTGAGCAAATTATCTAAATATCATAAATAGCTGCTTATTAGGTTATCAGCATTGCCCAGTTCGTATACTATTTATTTTTTAAATGAAACTCGAATTAATATAAAACATTCATTTGGTTAAAATAATATATCGGTTAAAAACATTCATTTGGTTAAAATAATATATCGGTTTGATTAACATAAAATAGTTTATACAGGCAAACTATCAGCTCTATTTCATGTAAAAAATTAAACAACCCCTAAATAAATTACAAATATAAACAGTATTTGTTAATTATTATTTATTTTGTTGCTGACAATATTCCCGTGGTGAAGAACGGGCGGTTAACTAGTACTATAAAATAGGGAACTTTTTTTACTGTTTTTACTGTTCAAACTGAAACACAAATACAAGTTTTGAAGAATACATGCCTACTAACTGTGTTTAAAATGTTAAAAACACCATTTTATAAGCTTTCCAACCATATGCTACACTATTGAGCTTTAGATCTGCTTATGATCACTTTGTTGGTTTGAATACCCCAAAACATGGATTTTTTTTACATTTTAAACGTAGTATCTATTATTCTTATTCCAAATTTAATGTAGAACACGAAAATGAGATCATCCACTTAAATCCATTCCCAGGTAATTTAGAAATTGCTGTATTGTGTTTAAAAACATGCTAATTTTTGGTGGAATTCATTTTGTTCACTCTAATAAAAATATAATTGATGTTCTAAATTTAATGTTTTCTCTGAATTTAATAGTTTCTAAGATACCAATTAAGTAGTACCAGTTAAGTAGTAACACGGAGGCTTTAAAGTCAGCTCCAAACTAAGGTATTTTTCTTTACATACATAGTTGACTCCTTTAAAATAAATTATATTATTGTAGAATATGTAAAGAGTACTCTGTCCGCAATATTAATTTTTTAAACCAATTGCTAAGGCTATGTGTTTAAGCTGTTAAGTGTTATTTAAGCTACTTCACGCTGGTAAAGTTCATCGTTCAGTGAGACGTGAGTGGTCTATGGACCATACTATTGTAAGCACCCATTTTTTTTTCTTTTTTTTTTGGGCATATGACTGATAAGATGTAGCGTGAACTGTTTGGTCAGTAGTCGTCAGTTTGCGGAAACTTTCAAAGTTAAATCTATTGTTGTCTTTGATGGTTAAATCTAAAAAAACTCATGTAAAGTAAAGCCTCGCTGTCCCACTGAACATTGCCAACGTGAAGTAGCTATTATAAAACACATAGCCTTAGCGAATGGTTTTAAAAGTAATATTGTGGAAAGACTAATACAAAAACATAAAAATAGAAACAATATTACTAGACATATGAATGACAACATTGCCAAAAATGTTAAACATACGTGTTGATTATTCTCAGACAATACATGATTTCTTGGGAAAAGAGTTCCAGAAAAATAACATAAAGTTGACCTTCAACACTAACAAGAGATAAAAAAAAAATATATTAGCCTCAAAAGCGACCACAAAGGACATACATTGTGAAACTAGCATAAAAAAAGAAATGCTCTGATTAACCTACTATATTTGCTGGCCAAACAGGACTAATTTTCAAAACAAGGTTTAAAGAGCACAGACTAGTTTCAAGCCTAACCATAAAAAAACCACAAAAATCCACCTTCACACATCATTTATTTAATAGACGTCAATAGTTCAATGTGAAATATTGACGACAGCTTGGAAATTCTAAACACTTGCAGAAAAGGGAAAATATGGACACTGTGGAAGAGTATGACATATACAAAAGTTTTAAACTTTTAGCACCTGTGTGACCATATTCAACGAAAAACTGCAGTTCAGTTTCCACTACATTTTTATTTCACTCATCAATAACTGCGTCCATTCTACAACAGCTGATCTTTGCCCAATGTCTCTTTCTCTCTCACACAATTTAGAAGCATAAACTGGTCTAGTCTGTCCCTTGCTACCTGTGCGGTCGGTCATCTTTTGTTAGAACAGGCCTGTTTCTTACATGTTTAACTGTTTAATGTATTTATTCGTGCTGTTTCGTATGGTGTTTATCTTCTGACGATGTTAACTACTGATCAACTCTACATATGAACCTGAAGCTCAAGGCTACATATATACATATCTGTATATCTGTAGCCCTGCCCGAAGCTGACGATGGTGTTTTAACACCGGAACATGTCCTGAATCGACATATTTTATTGATCTATGACAGTATTACGTAAGTCAAACAGCTCAGGGGCTACACACATGGATTTTAATTGTATCACATTTTACTTTTAGACTACCTGATTACTATCTACTTTTACTATTTCATAAATCTTGATGATTCTTACTTAGCGATAGCTACTATATGTCCACGAGAATAGGTTCAATAAATACGTTAAACTTATGTACGCTAACCCAGTATTTTTTGGACTGTTTTCACATACTTCAGGCTGGACAGATAAAATCCATTGGTGATTCGGCAGGATTTGAACCTAGGATTTCAGGGAGCAAAGTCCCGCCCTCTAACCATTAAGCCAGTTCGTTACTCCACTTAACCTGTAGTAAGGAGGGTACTTTGCTACTATACATGACATATATTGAGAAAACTAAATAAAAACAGCGTCCTTCCACTTTATACCAATGTAAATTAAGCTAAACTGATATAAGCATAGGATTGTGGTAATACAGTCTATGTAAATATTCTTAATGTTGACGGGACTTATTTTTATTTTATGGATAGGAATTCGCTTTTTATCGCCCCTATCCGCTTTATCAAATATGAACGTCAATTGATGCCCCACAGCATGGGCCCTGACCTAGACGAGTATCCGGCCATCCATAGATCTGCATGAGTCTTAACACGAGGCTTAACAATTATATATATTTTTACTTTAAAGATACAAAGATATTGGAAAGCTTGAGAAAGAACAAAAATAAATACTATGCAATAAAATAGTATAAAATTAAATATGACAGTTTTGGACGATATATTTGTTTTAATTTTTATCTTGTTAGCTAAGAAATTACAATGCCATTTTTTACCAGATTTGCTGGAAATGTAAAATGATTTATGACAGTAAAGTGATACCATTATAATTAATATTATTTGATTCCCACCACAGTAAGCTATTTACAGGTATGTAATTCAGAGAGATAAACAATACATTTCAATCAAAAAAAGGTTTACTGCGACCTTTTACATACAGTTTCTTCAGTTACGAGTTTGACACCCGAATGTATTTGTTCGCATTCTCATCGAACTTGTAAAGCTGAGATACTACAACACTATTAAGTTTCTTAACATTGCGGTATTTGACTTCGATTCCCTCATTTGTAGGGTTTGTTTCTGGCACACTCTCAATTGCTCCATCTCTTCCTTTGCAGTCGTCGAGAACAAGCCAGTCCAGAATAAACTCGTCCCCTTGCTTGTTATAATAAGTCAGCTTCGCAATGTAGGCATTTTTAAAAACAATAGAGTAACCCTTCCCATCATTTTCTGTCCATTCTACCTTGATGCACATCCATTCAACTTCAACTCCATTTCCTTTCAAAGGTATCACTGAACGTACCACTAGTTCGCGTTTGAGCATCTTTTCCAAATTTTCGCCCTCGATAATATATTGTACTAAAAAATAAAAACAGACAAGATTGGTTTTGTTATTTGGTTTCTTATTGTGCATAGGATAGTAAGTGATGTATCACTGAAAGTGAAAATAAATATTGATACAATATCAGTTTGCGGAATCCTAGGCAATGATTTTCAAACACTAATAAGAGCATTAGCTGAAAGATTGTCAGAAAAATGGGTTAAGCCTTACAGCCTAGTAGTCAATTGGATAAGGACGAGACTGACTTGCTCAATTTTAAGGGCAACAAGCATGTGTCTGAGAAGATCTCGGAAAAAATGGAGATCTGCTAGAGAATTCGAAGATGGAGCAGGCATCCAATATATATATATATTGAAAGAATCAAAATTTTTAGTAATATTTGTAATTTAGATTTATTTGTCTTGTAATATTTATAATAAATGTTTAAAATATTGATATAGTTATTCTGAGGCAAACTAGTAGTACAACATGTTTTAAAGTTGTAATCAAGCCAGGACGAGCACAGAGTTTGTAAAACAAGATTTATTGCAGTTCAGGGTTAATGAAGAAAAGGTTTTATTTTAAATATAGTTAGTAATCTTACAGCTAATATAGCCAAAATGTGATGATAAAATATTGGACTGAAGAAATCGAAGCCTACACTAGAGGCACAATGTACACTCTTAGAGTGTACCTACATTTTGAAACTATAAATGGAAACAAAAAAAACATATCGATCAAACATCAGTATGCATTCTTTTCATATTTAAATATGATCTTCAATGTTTTTAAAAATAAAAATAAAAATAATTTGTTTACTGCTAAATCATTTTAATGCATTATACAGGCTAGGAAAATACGTTTCTTACGTTTTCAAATTGCCCTCGAGGGGTCAATAGTTAACCGAGTGGCCACAAACTGCGCTAACATCGCGACCCCTATGATACGGCACAAGAAGGCGTACAGGGAGCTAGTAGGATTAAACGTAAGAGTGGCGAAACCCTAAAGGTCATTATCTTTCTACTCACCATCCGTCCCTCCGTTAGGTCATAAGCTTAAAATCACACCACAAAAGCAAAACTCTTTTAATTGATTTAAAAGGTATGCTACAGTGAAACCCCTTAATGTATTAGGTATTTAGCAGAAGGTGGATCGTTATATGATTCGGTGGGCCACGAAAAAGGTCCATGATAAAGGTTACCAGACCAAAAAAGTGTAGAGTAGAACCACTGCGTAACAACCAAGATGCAGCAGTTTACAAAATTTAAAATTTAATTAAATTTTTCTAGGAATACTTACCATAAGCATCACTCATTGCAAACATCTGAAAAAGAATATTACAAACAATGTAAATACATAATATTTTAAATTACTATGGGTTTTTGTTTATAAATAGTTTATAAAAATACCCTTTTTTAACAAACTAGCTGCTATAACATAGCAACGGGGTCAGTATGCAAAAGAGACAATGTTGATTTTTGAAAATGGCCTAAACATGTTTTCTCACCTAACATTTAATTTAGAAACGAAATTGAACTGTATTACTTAACTTGATAATAATACGTTTGTGAACACTTTTTTAGACTACCTAGGATACAAAATCAATTATTGATTTTAAGGAATAATCAAATAACACGTTGAATGGTTTATACTGTAAACAAAAAGCTATCACAATAGTTCCAAACCTGTCAATAGTGTGATATTTTAGTGAAAAATTACAATCAGGCAAATGGAAATTTGCTGTGACATGGGTATTTTATCACTGTTTACACAAAATATATATAAAAAAAAACAATTCCTGTAAAACTCAGAATAAGAGCCAGGGTTGATAGGGCAATGACAATACAATCTTAATTATTTCCTATATCCATGAATAATTTATTTTACAATAATTACTAACTACTTGTCAAACATATGATACAAGTATTTTATTTACGCTTGTAAAATAACTGTGATTGTGGAATGGTAAGGCCCCTGCATTTGTATTAATATTATGGCGATACAAATTTTTTCCTGAATATAACACTGGTCTAGAACTTATTTTTGAAGCAGAACTTTGTTACACATTGGTCTTATGTGATCACTGGTTTCAACGTAAGTATAAACGTGTTGGAATTGTAGTAAAAAGTATTCAAACTTTACTCATATTATATATATAGGATTATCTTATGTATTTGCAATAAAATGTGTGGCAGGATAAGAACTAATAACTTAATCGTAAAGTAAACATCTATGACGTGAATCGAAAGATTAACTGAGGTAAAAAGTAAGCAAACAAACTATAATTAAAACAAATGTTACAGCGTACATATCTGCAATATTTAAAAGGTAAGTAAATTAAATTACCTAGTAACCACATACTAATATCTTTTGGGAAGTTTCACATTAAGACCTTTAATTCAAACGGTTTTCTCAAAAGTATTAATTTTATGTTGTATATAATTATTCATACAAACTAAACCGTATTGTTAAACAATGAATTATACAGACATATCAATCATACTTATTGCTTATTTAAATGAAAATATCTTATGTATTTGCATTAAACCGTGTGGCAGGAGAAGAACTAACAACATTAATAAACACATTGTTTTATGAATAATGCTGTTACAAAATTATTCTACTCAATCTAAAACACACTTATAATAAAGCAATAATTTAAAAATAAATTAAAACTTTGGTCTACAGTATAGTGAATTATTGTTTAGTTGGAATAATATAAAATTATTAACTTACGGAAAAGATAAGTATGATAAGCATTTTTCGCTAGGTTTAGTCAGCAGCAACTTCTCTGTAAGAAAGGTCTACCAGCTAATAAAAGTTACACTCGGGTATCTACAAAATGATAATGGATTTTCCCTAATTTACATAATACTATCTGCGACATTCCTATGCCATATTTCTATCTGCGTCACTTTTTGCCATATGTTTACCCGCGTCACGATGAAGCAACTGCCAAATTGTACGCTTTAGAATTGTATTCGCTTAACAATTCTGCTTTTGTAAAATTTTTAATATTATGGTTTTATAATCCAAGACGATTATATGACAAATATTTCATTACTGGTCATTTTATGCTATATCAACCAAATTGACCACATGCATTAGCCATTGACCTCTTAGATTTGACTGAAGTTTATTACAGAGTTTGTACCCACATGCACTATTTCAAATCTAAAATTTGTCATTTTTAATGCCTTTTGATTTTTTAGCCTGAAAGGGGTTAAACGCTTCATAAATGGCCAATCTACGTCGATAGTTGAATGTAAAAAAAAATCATGTAATTCAAAAACCATACGACACATACAGCTTTTGACAGGGTACCTAGATGCACTTGATTGGGTACCTAGATGCTCTTGTAGGAGTACCTAGATGCTCTTGCTGGGGTACCTAGATGCTCTTGTAGGGTACCTAGATGCACTTGATTGGGTACCTAGATGCTCTTGTAGGAATACCTAGATGCTCTTGCTGGGGTACCTAGATGCTCTTGTAGGGTAAAAACTTATCATCGATATAACAACTGCTTTCCCGTTGTATTGACAACTTTTCGTAGGTGGTACCGAAGACCAAGAACAAGTACCCATTTACTTTTTAATTGTTATGTCTTCAGAGGTAAAAATATTATTAGCTAACTACATTATTATTTTGTGTTTGTGTTCGAAAATATCCAACACACTTTTTTCCTGAAGACAAAAAGACATTTTCGTAGCCAGTAACATATAGAGTTAAACAAAAAGTTTTTAAAAATAATCTAACACTGTCTCTTGAGAACACAATCTTATGTTTAATGCCTTATGAACATAAACGTTAAAATTCTCTGGTCATTAAGATTGCAGTTTTGTGAAATAAAAATGGAAACCTCACAACCTCCCACGCTTCAAGGTTTGTCTTAGTGACGTAATCTTTAAGTTTAAAGGAACCTTTCTTGTTCCTGTTGAATGTCCGGTGACTGGACTGTCTCACTGGTTGATAAATCAGGGTTTATAGAGAGGCAGTGTGTCTTGAAGATGACGGGGATAATGGTGGTCGACTATTGAAGTATTTGTATGAGAGATTGAGTCATTAGTTTGACGTTGACTGGAATAATTAATTATGATTATTAATGAATATTTGTTCACCCCAAGGTACAGTCGATGGTTATTATGTAATGGCAGTTTTACATGGTAGTTGTGTATTCGTCCTTCTGCTTGCTTCCTCCTCTAGAAAGGCATTTAATATTGGGCATCAAACAGGCTGATTAATACATCTCTTAAGCCTATATCCATTATCTAGGTTAATAATGCAGTGTAATTTTTCCAACTTTTCAGTCATCACCCCAAGTTTCCATAGCTAAGGACTAGGGGTGTACTATCTCCCCTACTTGTACACGATCTCTCATATTCCACGATCGCAGGACAGAGAAGAGTTTATACGCTTTCTTCAGAAAGGCTACACTTTTTTCCAAGTTCATTTCCAATGTATCATCCAGTAGAGAGCTACTCCAAAGGGACAAACAGTTTAAGTGGTCAACAAAATGTCAATCTGCATTTCATCGACTCAGGAATGAAATTGTCAGTGATCACATTCTCAAGCCTTACAACCCATCATTACTAGTAACTGTCACATGTGATCTCAACAGGGATGGCAGGAGTTCTTTCCCACATTGTAAATGGTGTCGAGCACCCAGCTGATTTTGTATCTAGACCACTTTCAAAGGCGGAGTAATACGATGGATAAAACATACTTAGTCTATGGAAATACTAAGGTTAACTAGATAGGTAAGCTTTAACTATCATTCATATAATGGGAAGACTTTTAATTACGTCTACGGCTGAGCTTTTATTTTGAAAAGTGATAAAAAGCCCTTAACTAGTATTTTCAACCATGATTCAAAGCTTTTTCAAATGAAAAATGCCAGGTTACTGAGATAGGTTATGCAATTTTCCTACAAGTGTTCAACTACCTGATCGAACATTGAGCAACAGAAGACCTTGAAAATTGTTGCATCATACAATAATTATCATTTAACATGAACTCACACACATACCGCTTCGAGAAATGCGGAGCTATTACATTACACTTTGAAAACTTGAAAAAAGGTATATTTCATCACTAGGAGCGAAAATGACTCTTGTTGGTACGCAATCGTGTTTTGTAAGTGAAGAGGACTGAGCTTGGAAATTTCGCTCCGTTTGATATACTACACTATTTTCATCATACTGTGGATATAATCTTTTAATCGTTACAAAGTTAGACCATATAATTTTAGGTTAAAGAAAGTCGTCTATAATGTTTTCAATTTCTGTAGTTTATAAACATAGTTTAAAATATCGTGTGATAATCAGCGTTTTCATAATGTACCAATAAAATTACGCAGTTGAACGATGATTTTGCAAACAATTTAGTTAACTAAAAACGGCTGTTTTGGGGACAGATTGATCAAAAAGCTATTGTAATCGTGCTGCATTCATATCTTATTGCTAAAATTACCATCTTAATAAACTTTTACTACTTGTACCTTTACGTTTTAATACAATCTAAAATTATTATTTGTATGATAATACTGTTTACAACTGGGAGAATGCAATTTCGGATCTCAAAAACAAGAAGACTGATTATCATAAACACCGAACAATATGAGGGATATTATGACCACAGAGCTGAATGGTTAATTCAGATCATTCCATTTCAGGCATTTCTTTATATTTACGTGTTGAGATTACAGTTATGTTATTAGGTATAATGAAAATACAGCATCACAATATTCCGATATTCAGTTCTACAGGGGTAAACTCAAAAGGACTTAAACAATAAAATGGCACGATTACCTACTTGTACAACTACACGTATAAAATCATTTAGAGTTTTTAAACAGCTATGTAGTACAGTGAAATTATATCTTTTTGACATTCAGTAATTTAAATGTTGCTATTCTTTTAATCGAAATAAATAAATATTTACTTTTAAAGCCCCTCAATGGATTTGTTTACCTGTTACAGTGATTTTCATTCCGAGACTGGGACTAGACCAATAGTGTTGCTTTGTACATTTTAAGCAAGAATATAGCTAATAATTTTAAGTTATCTTTGCAACATTCAAAGGTAGAAATTTAATTTACATAATATTTAATGGTATACTCATTTGACAAGTAGTTAAAAAGTAGTAATGCTTGCATGTGATTTTCGAATTTACAACAAAATGTGAAATTCCATTGATCAAAAGCGTAGTAGATGTTTTTAACTTCTATATTTTACGTTAAACGTATACTAGAGACGCAAGTAATTTCCTTAATTAAAGTGTTTAACTGTTGGTTGCTAAATATTAACAGTTTAGCACTGAGTTCCAAGTATAAAATTTCATAAACACATCCCTATTTCAAAATACTTATAGTATACACTTTACATGTATATTATATAGCCTACATGATATTAACGAGATTCAACATTTTTTTACAGATGTTTTCTCCTAAATATGGACGTGGGTAATGTTTTCCTTTTTTTCACTTTTAATACCATTTTTGGGTTTCTCGATTATAATGAGTAAAGGAAAATTCCTTAACATTAATACTCATTACGGTAGTTATAATTGTAGAGATCCTTTTTTCTACCCTTAAATACCTAAACATCTTGGATCTTAAAGTAATATAATGGTAAGTGTATGGTAATACAATTTCATTTTGCTATAATTGAAATGACATATATTATAACCAAAATTTGTATTCATTTACAAGCATTCTTTGATTTACAACATTAGTTAATAAAATGCAAGCAGATCAAGTCGTCTGAACAAACTTTTAAAGCTACATAGTTGTAAATAAACAAGCATGTTCAGTTTCAAGAACATGCAACCTTTATGGCAAACTGTTTCATCTCCTTATAAGATCCAGTTAATTTAACAATCTATTGGTGACCTAGGCCTAGTACGTAAATTTATATTTGATTTAAAAGTGGCACACAGCTGTAAATAAACGAATTCCCTTGAGATGAACATTCTACTCCTCTTGAATCATCATGTTATTGAAGGTCATCTTACAACTATTTTTCAGTATTCGTCTTTTAATTTTCTTTATATTTATAAGCAAAATATCGACTATTTCGGTGATAATTTAATATAAATTTATTTAATACAAAAAGTTTGTATCATAATCAATGCACCCCAGTGTAATAAATAAGACAATTGTTTGGAACTTATTGAAATGTCTTTGATATGCAGAATAATTTACAGTATGTGTGTTTAATTTTTCATACAAAAACACAAATGACTTTTTAGACCTTAATTAATTCTCAAGTGTTTTTATTGTTTATAATTGTGAATGGTTACTATTTCAACGAACTTTCCTATGTTGAGTGCTTTCACTATACTTAGTGTAGGAAAGGTCCATAAACTGAAAATTAGTCTGTCCGTGAAATGGGTCTCAAATGTCAATAGTACGAAAGTAAACAGACTAACTATAAATATTTTGACACACCAACATTCTAGAACCAAATAAATAAATAGTTTAATTATAACATAGTCATTTATTATAAGGGATTTATGCAGGCAGTATGTTTTTAACTATAAATAATGTAATTCTTTCCTGGGACTTTTTATTATAAAAGTTAACATTTTAAATTGCAAGTTTTTAACTACTTTTCATAATTTATTCTCTAAATCATGTTGTTGTTACGTATAAACTAAAATTGTAATTTAATTTGTAAAAGTTTCATTTAAATAAGTTCCTTTAGTTTTTTTTTATGAATTTAACTCATTATATGTTATACATTGTGCAATGCAAATATGTTTAGATTAACAAGATCCACGGGCCCATTTTTCAGGCTGTAATC